TGTGGGTAGTGTAATGTAATGGCGTTTGTTAAAGTGAAGCTGCCAGCCAGTTTGGTTTTGGACGTAGTGTGGAAAGGTTAAAGCTAAACTGTTATTGTTACTGTTTTTTCGTTGTTGAGGATAATTTTTTTAACTACTTGCCCTGCTAACAAGCCAGAGGAAGTAAGAACATGATGTTCGAATAGGGTTACAGGAAGCATTTGAAAGCTATATTGATAGCTGAGCCAGATAGAGTTAGAACCTGTGTTAGGTGTTTTTTTTTTTTTTTTGTTTTGTTTTTGGGTGCTGTGGTGTGAACTGACACCTTAAGAAATAAGACATTGTGCCTTGTCTTTACATTGGGGCTGTGCTGGACATAGATGCCAGCAAAGCTCCAACGCATCTGGTGTGAACAAGCCCTTAAAGTGGATTTCCAGGCTAAACCTAACTGGTCGTAAAATGCTCCCTCCCCCCTCAAAACACCTTTGCTGACTAACCTGTGTTAGAAAGATATATATACTATTTCAGTCTGCTCTGGTCTGGTCACATAATATCCTGTGGCAGCCAGCGGCAGCTGAAGGAGAGAGGAGAGGACACTCAACTGCTAGTAAAGCCTGGAGTGGTGATGTCACCCATAGGCTCATATGGCCCATCTGTTGTCGGTGCTCCCTCCTCTCCCCTGCAACCCATGGCATGAGAATTCCCAGTTTGCATATCTATTCAAAGCTTGCAGCTTGTATATTTCTTAATACAGGCTTCCTTTAATACTTAGAAGAAAAGTTTGAAGCAGGGCTGACAGGCAGGTAATTTTCCAATTGTCTGGAGGTTTGACTGTGCCCAACAGAAAACCTACCAATGTCACGTGGCATATATTTGTATTTATGGGGTGTGTAACAATTGTAGGCAGTCCCTGGAAGAAGTGAGTTGACCGCACTCACGCTGCATTGCTGTAATGTACGTAGCACACATCAGTTCCTGTACATCACATTCATGTTGAAGAACTGAGAACACACATCCATCCCAGTTACTCAGTTTTCTTGAACACATGATATGTTTGTCATGCCTGTTGAGAGGTTATGTGTGCTCCAGTTACTTTGAGCTTTGTACTCAGAGGACCAGGACCCAGAACAAAGTATGCAGCAATTCCTGTGACTGGAGATAATTGGAGCGATTTTCAGAAATTATTTGTGGAAAACCCTTAAGAGCATGCATGCTGTCATCACTGGTGTACGAGGACCCACACCAGTATTCTTAAAAGAAACCTAAGCACTGCAAGTGCTAAGCCCTCCTGAAAATGCTATTTGCATGGCCTCAATGCTGACCATCTTCCTAACATTCTTACTGTATAGTCATTGACCTGGAGCAAGTTTTTAACTTGATCTCCATATTTGTTTCAGGTCTTTTACTAGTAAATTAAGGAAGCCAGGAGATTAAATGGCAGGCAGACAGACAACTAGCACTCTCTGGTGGAAGTGAATCTTGTGAATTTTGGTTTTACAAATAACACAACAAACACTATACAAGAAAACAACATCGTTTCATTGCACAAAGGACCCTATTTATAATGGAGGGCAGATACTGCTATCCACTCTACAGTGAACATCGCAAAGTTTATGCCACACCGCATTCTGCATTTTTCTTGTCAATCATAAAATGCAGAACGCAGTTTGGAGTCTGTGGTATCTGTTGAAGTGTGTGTGTATGTATATATGTGTGTGTATATGTATGTATATATATATTTATATGTGTGTGTATATAATATATATGTGTGTATATATATTATTATTATTATACAGGATTTATATAGCGCCAACAGTTTGCTCAGCGCTTTACAATATAACGGGAGACAATACAGCAACAATACAGTTCAATACAAGAGGGAAAGGAGGGCCCTGCTCCTTGGAGCATACAATCTAGGAGGGAGGGGCTAGTGGTACAAAAGGTAGTAACTGTGGGGGATGGACTGGTTGGAGAGTAGAAGATTCCATTATTAGCTGAGGGCAGGATAGGCTTCCCTGAAGAGAGAGGTTTTCAGAGATCGCCTAAAAGTGAGCAGAGTAGGCAATAGTCTGATAAATTGGGGTAGAGAGTTCCAGAGGATGGGGGAAGCTCTGGAGAAGTCCTGGAGACGAGCATGGGAGGAGGAGACAAGGGAGCTAGAGAGCAGGAGGTCTTGCGAGGAGCAGAGAGTACGGTTTGGGTGATATTTAGTGACAAGATCGTTGATGTAATTTGGGGCAGAGTTATAAATGGCTTTATAAGTTATTGTTAATTGTTTGAATTTTATCCGTTGGGCAATGGGAAACCAGTGGAGGGATTGGCAGAGAGGGGTGGCAGATACAGAACGGTTAGTAAGGTTGATGAGTCTGGCAGAAGCATTCATGATAGACTGAAGAGGCGATAGCCTGCCATGAGGTAGGCCAATGAGGAGGGAGTTACAATAGTCAAGGCGAGATATAACAAGGGAGTGAATAAGTTGCTTAGTGGTTTCCAAGGTTAGGAAAGGTCGCATCTTGGAGATGTTGCGGAGGTGAAGTCTACAAGATTTGGACAGTGATTGTATTTGGGGCTGAAAGGACAGATGGGAGTCTAGGATTACACCTAGTACCCTGGCATGAGGGGAGGGACTGATGATTGTGTTATTGATCTTGATGGAGAAGTCAGGGGAGGGGGCACGGGCTGGATATATATATCTGTGTGTGTGTGTATGTATATATACATACACACACACACACACACAGTACTGTGCCAAAGTTTTAGGCAGGTGTGGAAAAAATGCTGTAAAGAGTACTTTCAAAAATAGAAGTGTTAATAGTTTATCAATTAACAAAATGAACAGAAGAGAAAGCCAAATCAATATTTGGTGTGAACACCCTTTGCCTTCAAACCAGCATCAATTCTTCTAGGTACACTTCCACACAGTTTTTGAAGGAACTTGGCAGGTAGGTTGTTCCAGACATTTGGAGAACTAACCACAGATCTGTGGATATAGGCTACCTCAAATCCTTCTGTCCCTTCATGTAATCCCATACAAACTCGATAATGTTGAGATCACGGCTCTGTGGGGGCCAAACCATCACTTCCAGGACTCTTTCTTCTTCTTTACACTGCAGATAGTTCTTAATGACATTGGTTGTATGTTTGGGGTCGTTGGCCTGCTGAAGAATACATTTGGGGCCAATTGCACGCCGCCTCCAAGATGGTATGGCATGATGGATAAGAATCTGCCTGTATTTCTCAGCATTGAGGACACCATTGTTCCTGACCAAATCTCCAACTCCATTTGCAGAAATGCAGCTCCAAACTGCAAGGAACCTCCATCATGCTTCATTGTTGCCTGCAGACACTTATTAATGTACCACTCTCCAGTTCTTCGGTTAACAAACTGCCTCTTGGTACAGCCAGATATTTCAAATTTGGACTAACAGTCCAGGACATCTGCTGCCATTTTTCTGCATCCCCAGTTCCTATGTTTGTGTGCATAGCTGAGTTACTGAGCCTTGTTTTCTTGTCGAGTGTATGGCTTTTTGGCCGCAGTTCTTCCACGAAGACTGTCTGCTCAGACTTCTTCGGACAGTAGATTGGTGTACCTGGTTTCCCCCAGTTCTGTGCTGATGGCACTACTGGACATCTTCTGATGTCAAAGGGTAGTAAGCATGATGTCTTTCATCTGCTGCATTAAGTTTCCTTAACTGACCGCTGCATCTGCTGTCCTAAATGCTGCCCTTTTGTGCTTTCTAAATAGAGCCTGAACAGTATTAACTACCCTGTGTCTTGTTGCTGTGCTCAGGCTTGCCATGGTGTGTGACCTGTGACATGAAATTGTCTTCCACAACCTCACCTTAGTAGCAGAGTTTGGCTGTTTTAAGCATCCTACACAGCTGAATAAAAATAAAAAACAAACCATTTCTCCCAAATATTATCTTGGCTGATACAAAAATTCAAATTAAATTGCCAAACATATAGACGAAGAATAGCTTTTGGTCTGTACCTTTAACATGGGGAGGGTAGTCTGTTGAACTGAACAGATGGCACAATAGAAAATGCAAAGGATTAGAACCTCTGTTCATTTTTTTTTTTTACTGCTTTTTGTGCCCCTTTGGCAATGTCCATTGGAATATGTGAGGAATGACCATAGGAAATGGGAGCGAATCTCTCCAAAGCAGATGCAGAAAGAAATACAAACCTCACTCCAAAAGTGAGATTGGACTTTTAAGCCAAAGTAGATGTATCGATAATTATATTTATGGGTGATAGTGTGTATCTAGAGCCACTTTTGGAGGGTGTGGTGCAGTAGCATATGAGTGCTGATTAGTGACATGGTATCATTGATTTCTCTACGCTCCGTAAATGACATAATTTGGTGTTCCTTAGGCCATGTTATATTAATCAGGCCGCAGGTCAGGAGGTGATATGGCTTTGTTGCAGGTTGCTTCAGGATTGGATGTGAAAGGAAGTTTGTGTTGTGGTCATGTAAAGTTAGGAGGTCTGTGGACTGAATTACATACAAGTTTCCTTCACCATGAACTCCACTGGAGATTATTTCAGTAATGACAGTGTTTCAACCTACGTATGAAATTGATGATCATTAGCACCTGCTTGGTATATTTGTTTACTCACTCATCTGCCTCTAATCCTTAAAATCCGTGACTTTGTGTAAGTGTACAAAGTGTGCTAGTTTAAAAATTGATGCTGGTTTGAAGCCAACGTGTAGACACACCAAATACTTTGATTTAGATGTTTCTTCTGTTCCCTCACTATGCATTTTGTAAATTGATAAAAATAAACAAAATATATATTTTTAACACATTCTTGGTTTACAGCATTTCTTTGCACCTACCTAAATTTTTGAGCACAAATTATAAACAATTGTTCTTATGGTAAGTAGTCCTGAGATCCAGTAAAGTACACTCTCTTAAGGTAAGACTGATAGTTACAATCTGGAAGAATAATGTCATCAGTCTGCTGCAGGCTGGACAGAACATTTCTTCAGTCTCACTCGTCTCCCTTTATTTTGACAGGTGGATCGTAGATATGGAAGGGGCACCGGGAACATTATATGAAGGAGAGAAGTTTCAACTTTTATTTAAGTTCAGCAGTCGATATCCCTTTGATTCCCCTCAGGTAATGTTAAAAATAAAAAACAAACCATTTCTCCCAAATATTATCTTGGCTGATACAAAAATTCAAATTAAATTGCCAAACATATAGACGAAGAATAGCTTTTGGTCTGTACCTTTAACATGGGGAGGGTAGTCTGTTGAACTGAACAGATGGCACAATAGAAAATGCAAAGGATTAGAACCTCTGTTCATTTTTTTTTTTTACTTCTTTTTGTGCCCCTTTGGCAATGTCCATTGGAATATGTGAGGAATGACCATAGGAAATGGGAGCGAATCTCTCCAAAGCAGATGCAGAAAGAAATACAAACCTCACTCCAAAAGTGAGATTGGACTTTTAAGCCAAAGTAGATGTATCGATAATTATATTTATGGGTGATAGTGTGTATCTAGAGCCACTTTTGGAGGGTGTGGTGCAGTAGCATATGAGTGCTGATTAGTGACATGGGATCATTGATTTCTCTACGCTCCGTAAATGACATAATTTTGGTGTTCCTTAGGCCATGTTATATTAATCAGGCCGCAGGTCAGGAGGTGATATGGCTTTGTTGCAGGTTGCTTCAGGATTGGATGTGAAAGGAAGTTTGTGTTGTGGTCATGTAAAGTTAGGAGGTCTGTGGACTGAATTACATACAAGTTTCCTTCACCATGAACTCCACTGGTGAGATTTCTATTCCTGATTTCCAGGTCAGACTATATGATGTGACCATTTCAAAGGGGTCCCATTCTCCCATTAAACATGCTTGTTTTGCATTAGGGAAGAATGCATGAGGAGGATTGTAATACAATGAAAGAGTTTGGCAGTGTGTTTAAAGCAAACCTGCTAAATTAAAAATAAAAAAATCATCTTGCCAAAGAAGAAAATACCTACCTGTTCTGCCCCTTTGGCCTATGCATCCTCCAGCGTGATTAGTTTTACCCACCAGTCCCTGGGACTCATTAGTGGCTGGCAGAGAAAGCAGACATATGTAACAACTGGTGACCGGGTTGCTTTAAAGTTGGCTACTATTTTCCCACGGGGTCACATGAGAAACTGGGACTGTTTTGGAGAGCGGAACTTAATTCTGCTCAATATTAAATTTGGACCAGGGAAGGTTCATCAGTACATAAACATATAGAAAGCAAATAGCTGGCACTAGGAATACTAGGTACAACTCATGAAATAGGTCTCTTTCAGATGGGAATTCAGGGGCCGAGCTGGTCTTTTTCTGCTGCTCGCCCTAATTGCGGAATTTTAACTTGGGCTGCAGAGTTTGACAAGTGGCACTGCTTGTCAAACTGGCTTATTGAGTTCAGTAGGGCCACGCCGCAATTGCGTGCAATGCATGTGACTGTAGCCCCATAGTCCACCAATATATAGTAAATCAGGCAGTGAGGAAGCGATAGAACACTTCCTGTCAAATTCTCTCTGAAAACCACTTTGACTGTAGAGTGAGAACATGCAATCAGGTACAGTGGGGATTTCTACAGCTCTTGACCTGGACTGAAGAACACGTGCACAGCTCCTGGGGTTTGCAGCATGCAGTCACTAAACAAGGAAGAACTTGGCAAGGTAGCAGAGTGGTGGGACATCTCCTAGGCAATTCCCTCGCAGCAGAAGCACCAGTCTCCCCACTCTAATGTCTACCGTAACTCCCCAGGCTCTCACCTTCCAGTTCTTGCAGCTTTGCACAAGTACATCTGTGAGCATGCTTCTCTAAGTCTCTCAGCTTCCACATTGAGAAAGTCATTGAGGGCTGAATGTGGCCCTGGGTCACAATTTGCCCAGGCCTGCTTTAAAGGATAATTGTATTTCTTTTTCTTCCATTGAGGGACCCAGGAAGTCACATTCTGTTGGGTTATACTGCCTCCTTATAGAAGGATTAAACACTGGCAAGCAAAAAATGAAAAAATTCTTGGCCAGACTAGGATAATCGCTCCTAGTTCCAGCAGGCCACAGATTTTTGCTAGTGTTCTAAGATGAATGGAAAATTTTACTTCAGCTCTGCTAGGAAAAGTCTAACCCTTTTTTAATTGCTTTGTTTTCTCCTTTATTGATTCTTCTATTCTTTTTTTACAGCACTGCTTGAGCTGGTCCCTAAGATATGGACAGCAGGGGTGCATCTGAGTGCAGTGGTTATTAAAAAAACATTTTTTTAGGAAGACAATTATCAACTTACACGATACTGATGACGATAGCTGGCATGTAAGTCTAAGCACACACATGTCAGCCTCTGGGGGAGAGTCTTCTCACATCAGGTCCCTAATGATGGCAACTATCCAGATTTGGCCTTTTCTCAGCCTAGCTTTGCAGTGATATACTCGGACCCCACTAAACATGCCTGGCTAGCCCGGAAGTCATCCTAGGACACTGTGTTCCAAGGTATGCGATTTGCTGCCCCATGCTGGTAATAAGTCAGCTGCGGAGTGTTTCCAGGTTCAGAACCATTGGCGGCATTGCCTCCCAAGACTCATTTTATGAATAGGCTGATTGAGCTGAGCGTTATTTCATCATTTGCTCTGCTGGGTGTCTTTTGAAATTCCTGCTTTCCACTGCTCTTACCACAGAAGAGGTAAAGCTGAGGGGCTGAGTGCTGACATGCATGCTCTGTGTCATTTAGTGGCAAAAAAGCATTGCCCCACTGCTGCAAACAGCCTTGTGGAAACCCAATATTTGGTCTGTTCCTACTGCCAGTCTTCAGTGACATTGCTCACCTCCAGCTATATGACCCTCACCTGCTACCAGATGTATGGGTTTTGTGAGTAATTGAGGCATTTCCTTGTATCTTGAGCTTAGTTACATCAGTGCCATGTTAAAAGGGATGGTCCTGTTGTAACAGGTTACCCCTGGTCACACTCTCCTTACAGTTCTGGGGACATTTACGCTGTTTCCTCTGAATGCACTGATGCCTGCTGTATGGAATCATGTTTCCCTATGGCTATAGAAGCTCAGCTCCAGCAGAATGTTTCGGCATACATGGTTGAGACCATCCATTTACCACTATGATTAAAATAATCAGCTATTATTTTTTCATGTAAAATCTTTATCCCCAAAAGGAAAAAAATGTTTGCTGGAACTGATTATAATGTGTTAGTTGGAGTTTGGCTTCAATTTGTTCTTAGTATTCAACTCTGCTAATACATTTAACAGTCCCCACCTGACTAACAATGCTGCTGTCTGCTGTGTCCTGGCTCATTCCTCCAAAGTGGTTTCTCACTGATACAGGTGTGTTACTGGCCAAACCACCAGGTGAAATCAGAGGGAAGGAAGCCAAAGAAATGCAGCCACCACATTTAATGATTGGTAAGCTGCACTACATTACATTTTTGGTTTTCAGTTTAATACTGCTTTAAGGAATCAGTGGCAACCTTTCATCCAGATTTAGGTCATCTTTGTCTATTTTGAATCTTTAGTTCCCTTTCATTATGATCATGCTGACTCTGAGGTATTGAACTTGGCTTTCTAAGAGGGTGTAGGAGTCACTGATTACATCTTAGATTTTTCTCTATATCAGTCATCCTTAGACTTGTTTTTGAGCAGTCTTTGCACTAGTGACTTAGATGCCTAACCTGGCAACTCTACCAGTTATACACCCCCTTCTTTCTAGACCTAGGGGTTTGGTGGGCTGGGGCTTAGAGCATTTTCTAGCCTCTGGTCTTATTTTACCAGGACATATTTTTCAGTTCCTCAGTCCTGGGAGAGGTGTTCTTCTCTGTGTTGCTTTTTTTCTTTTGGGAAACTGTTCTGTCTCTTGGTTGGTTCAGGAAGACTGGTTTCCTGTAATGGTCTCTAAATAAAGGGTTTTCCACAAACTGTGTCTCCTCACTAGCGTGAGTACTCTGGTCTCTGGCATGCCTAGTTGCTCGGTTTTTTACCACCTGGTCTTGTCCTTTCCTTACCAGGTGGTGGTATTGTTCTAATTCTGTGTCAGCTTCAGGCATTAGTGTTTAGACAGCCCTTTAGGCGCACACAGTCCCAAGTTGTTGTTCATATTGGACCTGTTAGCAGTTCTTTGCTGTTGCCCACCCCTCAGTTTGATTTTGTGACCATCAATAGATGAGAAAGAAGTTGTTCTTTTTGTGACATAAAATATTTTTCTTGAAGTCTATTGTAGGGAAACAGATCTCACTCTTCTGTGTTTGATTATGCTCTTGGTACTGTTTGCTACAAAGCTGAAGGTTGCTGGTAGTAGAAGGGGTTTTCCTTGGCTGCCCTAAAATGTTTTTAATTGCTAGTGTCCAGTACTCCTGTGGGCAGCAGTAAGCTTGACAATATATGACGACTTGTGTCCTTTAATGGGCTCAAATAATACAATTTTACTGTGAGTACAAAAAAATATTAAGATTTACTTTTGGCCAGTCCTGAAGTTTTCTGCACATGCACGGAAAAAATTCCTTTCATTCTGACTCTGATAGACAGCATCTCCATAGGACAGAATTGGATTTGTCTATACATGCACAGAAGACTTTGGCACTGGCCAGGAGAGTTTCCATTGATCACTTCTTGGGGGCTGCACAGCATGGATCTCTTTGAAATGTAGGCAGGTGAATGTAAAACCTTGGGGGTGGGAGAGAGGAAAACGTTGAAAAGATTAACTTTATAAACTTAAGGTTAAGCTGGCCATACACTAGTAGAATTTTATACAAACATTCGTATGAAAGTTCTTGTCAGGACAATCCTTCTTGCCATTGAGTCAAATGATTTCATTTGAAAGCCCTTAAAGCGGTAGTAAACTGCAACCTTTAAAAAAAAAATGCAAGATAATGTGCTAGTATGAATCGCATACTAGCACATTATGTGAAACGTACCTTAAATTGAAGTCCTCCAGTGGCACGCTGTCCCCGCTGACAGGGCTTCCATCTTCACCGGACAAGGCTCCGGGGATAGCAGCAGCTGCTGTATACAGTGGATATAAAAAGTCTACACACACCTGTTAAAATGTCAGGTTTCTGTGATGTAAACAAATTAGACAAAGCTAAATCATTCCAGAACTCTTTCCACCTTTAATGTGACATAAACTGTAC